GATTCTCTATTCTGTTTCATTGGTCTATATGCCTGTTTTTATACCAGTACCATGCTGTTTTGGTAACTATGGTTTTATAGTATTATAAAGCCATATTTATAAATTATAAAACTATGGATTTAAAGCATTCTTTGAGCTTCTTGTATTTGGATGTCTAGATCTCTAGCAAGGCTGGGGAACTTTTCCTCAATTATTCTCTCAAATATGTTTTCCAAAGTTAGATTTCTCTTCTTAGGTTTGGTCATTTAACATGATCCCAAACTCCTTGTAGGCTTTGTTCATTTAAAAAAAAAAATAGAAAATGTTTTTTTCTTAGTCTTTGTCAGATTGGATTCATTTTAAAGCCTTGTCTTTGAGCTCTGACATTCTTTCTTCTAGTTGTTTGATTCTATTGCTCAGACTTTCTGGCAAATTTTGCGTTTCTCTAAGTGTGTTCTTCATTTCCAGAAGTTGTGATTGTTTTTTTATTAATGCTATATATTTCACTGGAGTTTTTCCATTTATATCCTGTATCTTTTTTTTTTTTAATTTCTTTAAGTTGGATTTCACTTTTCTCTGTTGCCTCCTTGATTAGCATAATAATCACCCTTCTGAATTCTTTTTCTGGCAATTCAGAGATTTCTTCTTGGTTTGGATCCATTGCTGGTGAGCTAGTGTGATCTTTTGGTGGTACTAAAGAACCTTGTTTTGTTGTATTACTAGAATTGTTTTTCTGGTTCCTTCTCATTTAGGTAGACTATGTCAGAGGGAAGATCTGGGACTCAAGGGTAGCAGGGGAGTAAGGTAGACTGTGTGAAGGTCCTCAGTTCTATTTTTGTTGAGTACACAGGTTTTGTGTTGGTTGGCCTCCAGCCAGGATGTGGTGCTTTCAAGAGGGCCTCAGCTGCGGGATACAAGCTTGCCCTAGGGTCACCTTGAGATAAGTATTGAGGTTTCTCAGGTGATGGGCAGGGCCATAGAACTCTTGAGACATTACGTCCTTTGTAGTTCCTCAGCTGTCCCACAGAGCCTGAAGTGGCAATCCACTTCCTTCAAAGGGTCTGTAGATTATCTCATCTTTCCTGGTATGTTCCTGTGGTAAGTCTTGGAGCAAAAGTTCATGATGTGGGTCTCCACATGCTGCTCTGTCGGAGCTCCCCGTTAGTCTTGCCTCCTATTTGTCATTTTCCCCAGGTCTTCTTTGACATATTACTTAGTTTCTATCACAGTTTTCCCTCTCCTATTTTTTTTTTTTTTTTGTTTGGGTAATTTTTATTTTCCTTTGAAAATCACACATTTCATTCATATCTTCAAAGTTACTAACACATTGTTGAATGAAGTGTTCTTTTGTGTATCTTTGGATTTCCTTGCATTTGTGTTTTCTCTTTTCATTCCTATTTTATAATTTTGTACTTTCTACATTTTATTCTTGACTAAACTGACAAATGATATTTTAGCTGTATTGAATTTTTTCTCTGAAGAATCTGCTCTTAAAATATTTAATTCTACTATTTGTTTACAACCAATTTATTTTTTTGTTTATATTTTTCTCGAACTTTTTAAAAATTATTTTTTCTTTCTCTTTTAATCTGTGATGATGAATATTTATTTATTTTCATTCTTGTGTGTTTAGAGATATGTGTCCAAGGATATGAACTATCCTCTGGGTACAATTTTGAAGTTTTTCTAGTTCTAATTTGTAATGTTATTTTTAAAAGATAGTTAACAATTGCAGTTAAATCTGTTATCTTTGGCCCAATAGTTAACTGAAATGTTTTTCTCCTGATTTTCCAGTGTTTGGTTTTTCTGTTTCTACATTTGCTGTTTTATTGTATTGCCATCTTAGAATGTGGTTTGTATTATAATAGCTTCTTGGAATTTATTCCTGAAAGATGTTAATTTTTATAAATGTACTATAGCAACCTAGAAAGAGATAATTTTAATTATTCACATATTTTATATCCTTATTTATATTCATACACTTTATCTGTCAGAGACTGAAACAGGTACACTTGAACCTTTTTATTACTTTTATATTTTTGTCAGTTTCTCTTTTATTTTCCTATGATTTTCCTTTACAAATGTTGATGCTTTGTTATTTGATTCCTAATGGTTCATGACAGTATCATCTCCGTGGACTGCAGACTTCATCATTACTAAGTGACTGCTTCTGTCCCTATGCAGTGCTTTTGACCTTGAATTCAACTTTGTCTAATAACAATGTCACAACTCCTATCTTATCTCCATTCAGATTTCTGCTCCAGGTTAGAAAGCTGGTTTGGGGAGAATAGAAGTGATGTAGCTGCCCATCTCTCTCTCAGCCCTGCCTGCATTATTTCCTCTTGTAGTGGAAGAACAGCCTCCTGCAGGGTTTACTTGCTTCTTCCTGGCCCTCCTAAGCCCGATGTTTCTCTCTCTCCTAGGTGAGCCCTTGAGATCCCTCTTCTTTATCTTTTCAAGTTTTCTAAGCACTGGGGATGCACTCATGAATAAAATACAGACACTGAGTCTTAAAGTCCTCTTGCTTTATTGGAGACAATCAGAGTATAAAGTCACAGTACAGAAAAATAAGAGTTACAAGTGATGCAAATTCTGCTCTATGTAGATAGATGCTGTGGGACTTAAGACAAGGAACACCTCCCCAATTCGGTCTTCCTGAGGAGGTAACATGAGGTGGTCTATGGCCTGAATAGGAGTTAGCCAAGCAAATGACAAGGAATATGTGGTATACAAGACAGACAGGATAATATAATCAGAGTCATGGAGACTGGTATTAGTATTCACTCTTCGCAGAGAAAGTAGTTGAGTTTCAAAGAAGTGATGTACTTAGCCCAAGATAAGAGTTAATAGGTGGTGGGGTCATACTTGAATCCAGGTCTTTCTAAACCTAAAGTCTGTGTTCTTCTGTCTAGTGTGTCACTTGCCCAAATTCATTTTCCTTTCAGTCCCATTCCATTTCCTCACCCTCTTTATGTATTTATATGTCTAGCTATCACACTCTCCTCTAGTGACAAAACTTTTATACAGAGGAGCAAATGACTGACAATAGTCTAAGCTACTTTCTCTGCAAAGAGATTTGTATTTTAATGATGTAAGTTAGAAGCTGAAAGAATACAATGACAGCAATGGAATTCCATTCTTTGTTCAGAGAGGGAGATTTCAGAGTTGCCTTGTCAGTGTCTGGTAAGTTTCACCACTTGAGCTGAAAGTTGTGAGTCTGAGTTAAAATCTGGCCTTGTTCTGAGCATCCCTGTTTTTCTCTGGATTTATATTCTTGGTGTCCCTTTACTCGCACTAATTCCCAAATTCTTTGTACAAGGAAGGAATCTCCAACCCATTTCCTTTATGTCTGAAGTGATGGAAGACTTGGCCCTCTTGGAGGAAGGTGCTTGCAGTGGATGAGAACAAAATTTTTCACCATTTACACTTTTCTAAAGCCACTCTTGCTTATGTCCTGGTTCCTCTGTCATTTCTAATTCTTGTGAGGACCCTTTTTCTTGGGGTTCTGGGTCGACCCTGTCTAAAAATATTGTCAGAGTTGTGGGCATGCTTAACTTACTAGTGTCAGGAAGAGGCTGCGATGGACCTTGGGCTCTGGGTGTTCTTTTTGGAATTCGCACTGCCCTGTCAGCCTACATCTTTACACCACTTTGTGGTGGGAGCCCTCTGAGGCCCTGAATCTGATTGTTCAGTCCTCTGGAATACATTTGCAGCTGGGGCTGGGAAGCAAGGGCTTTCCCTTAGGCTTTGTCTATTCCCTGTTTCAGGAAGATAGGTGGTCTTGCCAAGAGCCTGGTCAGTGAGAGCTATCTTGCTCACAGGCATTTTATTCTGTGGCTCAGTATTTAGTGAGCTCTGCTCATTCAACATTGATCAGCAGTTTCATATCCACCCTAGAGATTCCAATTCTAATGAGTATTGCTTTGAAACTCAGGGACTCCCTAACACTTGGCATGAATTATTCTTAACTTTCCATCTGTATTCATTTATTCAGTCAAACACATACATGCCATCTTGGAAATCTGGAGTGTGCCCAGGGTGTGTTAGCTACTTTAAGAAATGTAAAAATAGAGGTTCTTTATTACATCATTCAGTTTATACTTTTGCCTTTGCTGAATTTATTTTTCAAACCAAAATCAGGGTATACAGTGGGCATTCGTGATTTTTTGTTTTGAAGTAAAAGAATACCTAATGAAGACTTGCTTAAGCAGGGGGGAAAAAGGAATTTTTGGCTCATTTAACTGAAAATCCAAGAGCATAGATGGTTTCAGGTTCAACTGGTTCTAAGGATTCAAATAGTCTCAAGACTCAGTTCTCATCATTACTATCTTGACTGCAGTATCAGGTTCTATGTGGTAACATAATAGCGGCAACAGACTCACACTTTGTCCTTAAGGTTTAAATCCAGAAATGATGAACCTGTCTCTCTCCCAGAAGTCTCAGCAATATCTTATTGGCTCTGGTTGGTTGAGTCATGTGAGAATCTTTAAGCCAATCACTGAGGCTAGAAAAATGCAGCGTGCTGATTGGCTTAGACTCAAATTACATGTTTACCCTTACAGCTGGGCATGGGTTTAACTCATTCAGATTACATGGATTGAATATGAGACGGAGTGGTTCCCCAGAGAAAGACTGGGATAAGACACCAGCATAATGGCAAAGGGATGATGGGAGGCCAAAGCTACAGATATCCACCACACCTACTCTGATCAAGAATTTTTGAACTTCTGGACATAAAGCCAGATTGGAAGAAGTAATATAATGCCAGTGTATTGTCATTTCTGGAACATATTTTTTGGGTAATGTAAGTTTGTCACAGAAAGTCAGTGATTTATGGTCACAGAACTGCTATCTCAGTCTTGATAGTTTTAAAAATTATTTGGTAACATCTCCCAGGAAAAACCAACAGAGAAGTGTTTTACCCAGTTCTGGATACTGTTGACAATTTTGAGAGACATTGTTTTGAAAACTTATTTATTATATGTGCTGAGTACCTCTAAATTGCTTTTAACATCTTGCAGGGATGTATGAAGTGCTCTGAAGGCTGCCAACAAAATGTTAAGTCAGTCCACTGACAGAAAGGAAGAGAAACCTCAGAAAAACATTATTGCTTATGTTCCATCTGAATCTGAGCAGCTGACCTGAGGAAGGAGGTAAGAGGAAATGAAGGAATGAAATACTGAGTAAGCACTTTCCTAATAGTTTTAGAGGGAGGGATTCTACCTTTATCACCGTAACTCTGCGGGAAACACCCATAGCTTCAAAGACATTGGAATGCCTTCGCTTGTAGAACAAAACTTACAGAATGAAAAAGAGACCTCAGCACAAATTTCTTTGAGCAATGTTTACTAACAGGCTTAGGTTATCCAAATGATTCCTCAAAAAGCGCTTAAAATTTTCAGGAAAGCAAACAATTATTAATCATGAAATATTCATTATTATTAGTAGACATATTTTATGGCAAATACAGAACAGTAAAGTTGTGCCAGGACAGTGGTCTGATAGTGTTAGGAGACACAGCCATACTGCATAGATTAGAAGTCAAGGCAGTGGAGAAACGGTTATAGATAAGTAGAAGCCATAGAATTCAAGAGCTTCCAGGGAAACTTCTTTTCCAGTGAATGCAGAGTCTCACTGCTAATAAAAGTATTTGAGTAAATTCATTAAGGATAAAACCATGGTAAGCTGCCAGAGGATAGAGATAGACCTGTAAACTCTGAGATGGCTTGTCCCTTGGAGATTTGGGTGGTAAAATCACTGGGCTGAAAGGTTTTTGCTATTTATTTTGCTTACATAAGTTAAATTAACATGATGTATTACTCTTTGGAAGGATTATATGCCAAAAGACTGGTGGTTATTTTGATGGTCCTGAGGTCTCCTAAGGGACAAGCTTGAGGAGGGACTTAAATGGACAAGGATGAAATAAGCAGCAGAACAGGCTAGTGGTCTTTCTGATCCAAAGCTGTAAGGACCAATGAACCAATTGAGTTTCGTCTTTCTTTCCCCCCTTTCTCCTGTCCTATGTGCTTATACACAAAGTTCAAGACAACTTTTGCCCCAAAACTGCCTCAACCAAAAAATGCCTGAGTGGTAGGTAGAAAAGAGAAGCTCTGTTTTTGGTGTTCAAAATCATTTCCTTTTATGTTTTGGATGCTTTTCCTTGGAATTACCTTTCCTACTCTTTGAAGAGGTGAACTTTAGAAAGGAAGACTTATAGATGACTTTGGTTATAGCTGCCTCTTAGGTAAAAGAAGTCCTCTACGTGGTTTATCCTAGGTTACTGGGGGCTACAGTGGAATTGAGGCCACAGTTTTCTTCATGGTAACACATAGGGGATCTCTTCAGGATGTTGTTCCTGGCATATATGACACTATAGAGGAGGAAAGGGAAATGGAACAGGTGACTGTGCAGAAGTGGATTCTAAATTTTGGTATCTTTGATCCAGACACATTTAGCCTGTTTCTATCACTCACAGCCATCCTAAGTAGAATTTAAACTTAGATCAATCTGATTTCAAATCTCGTGCCTTTTCTTTGAAACATTTTCTACTCAGAAGCAGTGTCATGGAGGACAGGTAGAATTTAGAAAGACAGAGGGGTGGGGCAAGAGGACCCAAGAGAGGGCAAAAGAACAATGAAAGGCATAAGGACGAGAAAGCACTGGGTTACTAAGGATGGAATGTGGTGGTGATGGTAGAGTAATTGAGACCTCTGGTGCTGGGAATGGGGACTCTAGATGTAGTGATAATGGAAAAGTGATAGTGGAGAAATCAAGATGAGGAAAGGACCCTGTCTTTGGAAGGTGGATGGAGTAGTCTGGGGAGTCTGAGCAGACATGGACATGGTGGCAGCAGACTGTTAGGGGCAGGAGCCTTGTGGCTCCTGTGGTCAGCAGTGACTGATTTTCCTGAACTCTTTCATAGACGCACCAATCCATCGGCTCCAATTCCATTTTTGCATTGGAATTGCGTTTCTAATCCAATTCGTCAGTCTGTTGGCATTTCCTCTGTCTCAGGGGCCTGCGGGCCTATGACCGAAGAGGTGCAGCTCCCAGTCCCCCTCACTCAGCACTGTCAGTTGGCAGAAGTTAAGAGTACAAAGGATATTGGTGGATGGCTCAGAGTTCCCACAGCTAAATTTTGGCCAGATTAAGGCCTTTAGATTGAGTCACAAGTGTGAGAGAGATTCTGGAAGTAGAGAAAGGCGGGCTTAGAAAGAAAAAGTGGTTCCTTATGAGCTGATCTAATCACAAATGAGCAAAGAAAACTCCGGAAGCTGGGCAACATGCTGGATTAGTAAATGAGTAAGGATTTTCACAAAACAATCTCCACCTCCCACTCCTCGATTGCCCTTAACTCTTTGGGGTTGGCCTGGTAATGATGCATTTAGTTCCCAAAACCTGTAATGGAAAAGAAGGCGGCAAACTGGTTAAAACAAATAATGACTCACATGACTAAAATGTCTAGAGGTAGAGAGTGCAGTCTTTAGGCACATTCTGACCAGGGCTCTGGCTCTATTTCTCTGGTGTTCTTTCTGCTTTGCCATTTTGAATCAGTTGCATTCCCAGACTGGCTTGCCTTGGAGTTCAATGGTTGAAGCAGTCCTGGGCTTCACATTCATACACCATTCCATTCAGAGAAAGAGAGATTCTCTTTTCCAAACCATCAAAAGTCCTGAATTTTATTTTAATTAAACCAATTACTCTGTTGAGGAGGAGGATATGCTGTAGGACTTTTGGGGCCAATGCGAGGAATGGGGTTGGTAGGTCAATCTCACTCAGACCCTGTGCCTACACAATGGATGGTAAGAGATAGATGTTGGAGGGAGAGGGCAGCCAGCAATGTCCTCTCCAGAGTCATCAGAGCAATGGACAAGTGTATCCATGCTATGGTGAATATGTGGAAGAGGAAAAAAACATGTTTACTACAATAATACAGATCTGGGGCCATACCTGGAATGGGTATAGCATTGCAGCAGAAATATTTTTTCTTGTTTACCCAAAATATACCATTGGGAGCAAAGGCAATGATTAGAGGGTCATCTTCTCTATGACATTTCCATAGCTTTGCCAAAGAAATAGGTTGATAGATTGATGTATAGATGGATGGATGGATAGCTAGCTGGCTGGTGGGTAGGTGGCAGATAAATTGATAGAAAAGGGAAATTCTATGGGTCTGTGTGTCTGTTTTTGTGCCAGTACCATGATTTTTTGGTTACCATAGCCTTGCGGTATAGTTTGAAGTCAGATAATGTGATGCCTCAGTCTTAGTTCTTTTTGCTTAGGATTGCTGTGGCTATTTGGGCTCTTTTTTGGTTCCATATGAATTTTACAATTTTTTTTTCCTAATTCAGTGAAAAATGCCATTGATAGCTTGATAGGAACCACAATGAATCTGTAAAATACTTCGGGTAATATTATCATTTTAATAAAATTGATTCTTTTTATTCTTTTTATCCATGAACATAGAGTGTTTTTCCATTTGTGTTGTGTCTGATTTTTTTTCAGCAGTGTTTTATAATTCTTGTTGTAGAGATCTTTAACCTCACTGGATGGCTGTATTCCTAGGTATTTTATTCTTTTTGTGGCTATTGTGAATGGGATTGGATTCTTGATATGGCTCTCAGCTTGGACATTATTGATATATAGAAATGTTAGTGATTTTTGTACTTTTTTTTAATCCTGAAACTTTGCTGAAGTTGTTTATCAGTTCTAGGAGCCTTTGGGCAGACACTATGGGGTTTTCTAGGTGTACAGTCATATCATCTGTGAAGAGAGAGAGTTTGATTTCCTCTCTTCCTATTTAGATGCCTTTTATTTTTTTTTCTCTTGTCTGATTGCTCTGGTTAGAACTTCCAGAACTATGTTGAATAGGAGTGGTGAGAATGGGCATCTTGTCTTGTTCTGGTTCTTAGGAGAATGCTTCTAGCTTTTGCCTGTTCAATATGATGTTGACTATGGGTTTGTCATAGATAAGTATTATTGTTTTGACTTACGTTTCTTCAATGCCTAGCTTGTTGAGCGTTTTTAACATGAAAGGATGTTGAATTTTATTGAAAGTCTTTTTCATCTTTTGAGATGATCACATGATTTTTGTTTTTAGTTCTGTTTATGTGATGAATCACATTTATTGATTTGCATATGTTGAACCAATCTTGCATCCCAGGAATAAAGCCTACTTATTTGTGGTGAGTTGACTTTTTTGATGTGCTGCTGAATTTCGCTTGCTAATATTTTGTTGAGGATTTTAAAATCTATATTCATGGGAGATATTGGCCTGAAGTTTTCTTTTTTCATTGTGTTTCTGTCAGATTTTGACATCAGAATAATGCTAGCCTCATAGAATGAGTTAGGGAGGAGTCCTTCCTTCTCAATTTTTTTGAATAGTTTCAGTAGGATTGGTATCACTTCTTCTTTACACATTGGTAGAAATCAGTTGTGGACCCATCTGGTCCAGGGCTCTTTGGAGTTGGTACGTTTTTTATTACTGATTTAATTTTGGAACTTGTTATTGGTCTGTTCAGGTTTTCAGTTTCTTCCTTGTTCAACCTTGGGAGGTTGTATGTTTCCAGGAATTTATTCATTTACTCTAGGTTTTCTAGTTTGTGTGCATAGAAGTGTTCATTATAGTCTCTGAGGGTTTTAAAAAAATTTAGTGGGGTTGGTGCTAATGTTCCCTTTGCCATTTCTGGCTGTGTTTATTTCTATCTTTTTTTTTATTAGCCTACCTAGTTGTCTCTCAATCTTATTTATTCTTTCAAGGGACCAACTTTTGGTTTTGCTGATCTTTTGTATAATTTTTCATGTGTCTGTTTCATTTTGTTAAGCTCTGATTTTGGTTATTTATTTTCTTCTGCTAGCTTTGGGGCTGGTTTGCTCTTGTTTTACTAGTTTCTCTAGGTGTGATGTCAAGTGGTTAATTTGAGACCATTCAAACTCTTTGATGTGGGTGTTAAGCACTATAAACTTGACTCTTTATACTGCTTTAGCAGTGTCCCAGAGATTCTGAAATGTTGTTTCTTTGTTTTCATTAGTTTCAAAAAATTTCTTGATTTCTGCCTCAATTTCATTGTTTACCCAAAAGTCCTGCATGAGCAGATATTTTAATGTCCATGTAATTGTATGGTTTTGAGAGATCTTCTTGGTGTTAATTTCT